AGTGGAAAAAAAGTGACTAAGTTACTATTGACTGTAAGTGACTATAGTTAGCTATATTCATGAATTTTAAAATTTTGTATGGAAAACAATCGACTATAGTTACTCAGTCAGTCAGGCGATTATTTTGGGACGTTTCGACTATCGGGTGACTATGATTATTGTCAACTATAGTTAGCTGTTGCAGTTAACCATAGCTTACTTTAATTGATTGAAGTTAACTAAATTTAACTAAGGTTGCTTGTTTTTACAGTCAATAGTCAGTCAGTTTGTCCCAAAATAGTCAGTCACTTTTTTTGTACACGGGAATGAAGACCCAATGAAGTACCAATTGGGTCTTTATTGGGATTTCATTGGGACTTCATTGGGTTTTAATTAAAGATAATAAAGTCCCAGTAAAGACCCATTTGGGACTCCATTGGGACTTTATTGGGTCTTCATTGGGTTTTTAAGACCCAATAAAGTCCCAATAATATAAGTCTGTTCAAATTCCCCGGGTGAACAGTGCAAATTGAGTGCTTGGGTTGCCATCAAATTTCCCAATAGTTTTCAAAATATCAAATGATTGAAATCAGCATAATTTCTATTGTATTTTGACAATTACCCTTAATAGATAAGATAACTGCCTCATTCCGATTGAATTAAAAAAAATCAACGAAGGCGTTGTAGTGTTTCCCACACCACACAAACATAAATATATTTTAAGAACAACACTACAGTGTATCACACGCACACAAGGCATGATTGTATCACACGCACACAGAGCAGTGTGTTGCGAAGGTCCGAATAGAACGGATGTCAATTGGAGAGCGGATTGATTTTAAATAAAATTATTTAAAAAATGAACAATTTCAAACTTAATTTCGTTTGATATAATAAACTAAAGCGTATTATCTGTATGATGGAATATGTAAAATTTATACCTTTGATATGATTTAAAAACCTTCCGCTCTTCCGTGTTATCATAAGCACGTAAATCGATGTCAATATTTGTTTCAAACTATGAAGCCGTTCGAGTGTTTCATTCGTTGTAATTTAGCATTTTGCTATACATACGAAATAACGGATATGCAAATATTTTTTGGGTTTTGTCGATTCCAATTGAACAAACAGTTGAATTTGCAATCGCATCGCAATGTTGTTCAAATTACATGCGTAAACCTATTATGCATAGAATGAACGCCTACAAAATGCACTAAATTATTCTGATGACTTGGGAAGTCATGCACACGTATGCATTGCTTCGAAATGGTTTCAAGCAGATGATCGCATTCAAATTTTATATGGTTTGCATCAAAACATTTTACTCGAATGATGTGAATTTTTATTCAAAAACACCCGGGTTTTATTGAAAGTATTTCACGCGTGATAAACGAGCAAACGAGATCGAATGTAATCGTATATACGATTGTAAAACCAACACTTCAAACATTCGAATTATTTTCGCATTTTAACGCATTTTCGCATGGTTCAATCGTACAGTAAGCGTAGGTACAAACGGAGTATTAACACACATACATGTATAGCAACGCATCATTTATGCAGATGTAGAGGTTTATTTGTTGCATTCATCGTGTTCAATTCTCGGTGCTCATACAAATTACAAACGCTGTAAAATACTTTGTAGCATCTATCTATTCCATTCCCATGCCAAATGAATTCCAATAAATACTGAATATGTAATGCGAATCCGAACAAACACATACTCGCATGCGTGCTTCCTTTAAGATTCAACCGTTTTGTAACCAGGTCACCAAAGGGTGCCATTATTCTGTGTCATAAAGCTGAAATCATCAGCTCAACGAATATGGTGATGTCGTTCCAATATACAAACTTTTCAATTGACTCAGTGTTCTTTGAATGGCCCCAATAGAACTCGTCAACAAAAATTCCAGCGTAAACAAAATCGAGATCGCCTTTTCTGATACTTTAAAACTTTGCTGGTATCGTGATGATACGATGCAACCTGCAATGCCAATAGAACAGTGTTTGGGTGTGATATTCAAAATGCGCATTTGATGCTTTGTTTATAGCCAACATCTGAGACCTGGAAAACTATTCAATGGTAGCTATTACCAGTTATGTATCACAAACTATTGCATTCGACAGGAAATCTTTTTTGTCTGCTTACACATGAGTTCTTTTTTTATGATAACCTCCGAAAAAACCAAATTCTGGCAACAAAATCCATTACAATATTCCAAATTCAATTTTTTTTCCATAGCTACCGAACAATTGAAAAATGAAACAGTGAAAAGAGCTTTTAACTGAACATTTAAGCGTGGATATTCTATTAGATTTTCGAGTTCGTTTTTTTGTTCGATTGAAATTTTAAAATGAAATTGTTGTTCATTAAGAGTTCATGTTGCAAATTTTGTTTGTTTTCATTTTGTTGCCGCCGCTTTTTGTTATTCGGTTTTTAATTTCAATATCACCGTCACCATCTTCTATCTCGAATTATGTTTACATACATTTTGAAAGACGCATTTGGACAATGAAAGCACAAATGACATTTGCCGGCGCAGACTTTTTGGAATTCTATTGGGCATTTCATGCTCTTTCTTGTCAATCTGCCAAAAGAAAAAATGTGTATGCAAGGCGATGCGGAAACAAATGAAAATGCTGGATGATGAAATTTGCTTAACATAAGAAATGTATGATTTTTTTGTCGGTTTGTTCCAGGAAATGAAAACTAATTATGGCATTCAGTTTTGAATTGAATGCACATTGTTTTTTTTTTGGTTCTATCTAACACGTTTGTCGCTATGAATTTAATTTTCTTGCAGATGTAATGCTCAGCACACGCTATATACACAAATGGATTTTTATATGCACCAGCATTTTGGTGCAGTTGATCTTGGCACTGTTTACACTACGACCGAACACGTTTCAAAGATTGTCTTTACCATTGCATCCGATTGAAATTATCCAACTTAAATAGCTTCGCTCTTTTTACATTGTTCGGTCCGTACAGTTCAATGCACATCGTCTCATTTCTTGTACATCTTTTCTTTTACTGTGTGAACAGACATCGTAAATTAGATGACAAGACAAATGCACACCAATTTCCATCCTATGCAAATATTTTCATTCAAACAATAATTCAAAGATAAAACTCACATATTGTATTGTTTGTTTATAACAAAAAAAGAATTTCACACCAAGATAAAAGGAGTTGGCCCGCATCTCACTTTCAACAAATTTGATCTCCATTTTCTGCAATCGTACTACTTCCTGTGTCAATTTTCTCTCTCTCTCTTCCTCTCAATCTTTCGTACATTAAATTTAGTTATCAAAGACTGCTGATGCTGACTGTGCTTTAGTCGAGCCAAATCTGTCGGACCAGCAAAAATATTAACATAACAGGGAAAAAAAATAAAATCATATAAATCATCTTGAATGAATCGCGAATTTTGTAGTTGACGATGGATATAGCAAATGCTCTTAATCATTCAGATGATGAAATTGTGTGAAATAAATTAAGTGTGAAGTTCAAGAACTAGTGATGTGCCACACAAGCCCATATTCCCGAAAAGTTATGCATCAGCATTTTCCAAATTCAAGCTTCGTTGGTTCGCAACCCTTTCGTAAGCACTTTATACGCTTTCCGCGTCCGTAAAATAGTTTATGCCAAGTGTATGAGTATTTTTATCTCTCCCTCTCTCTCAATCTTTTGTGTGAACATTTTCAAGTAAAATCGATTTTACTATTGAACAAAAGATAGTAAAATGATACAAGTGACAACATTGCAGAGTATATTCATTTAAATTTTCCTTTTATTAGCATCCGATGCGGCAAGATATTCTATATAGATTCTTATTCACTTCACGAATTCGGCTTAAAAATATATATTACATACAAAATATCAATCAAACAACCTGCATGCCAACAGGCTCATTACAACAGATAAACAATTCTGATTTCATACAATTAATACACCATTCACAGTTTGAATACTCGAATTCAACTATCAATTATAAATACGCCTGAAATGCGATCACATTGAATCTCATTTGTGCGTATTTAAAAAAATGATGAATTTTTATTCTAACCAAATAGATTTAATATGCATTCATTTTGAGCTGTTTATTCATTTGTTTAATTTTTTTGTGGTTATTTTGCAGATATTCCAGCTGATGATATTCTGGAGTTGTTTGGTAAAACATTTTTTGAATTTTGCCAGGATTCGGGATACGATAAAATCCTACAAGTGCTCGGTGCCACTCCACGTGATTTTTTACAGGTAAAATGAAAAAAAAATAATAAATAAATAAAATGGATTTTTTTTTGGAAATAATTCCATAAGGAATGAAATGCTTGAGTACTATGGTGAAATCTGCTTTAGTCTCTCTAGTTCGCATACAAACGGTTTTCGATTGAATCAACATTCAAAATAAATAGTGGCAACGCTCAAACGCAGTCTTAATAATATATAAATACGGTACATTTTCTATATCGAATAATACGTTGGATTGATGCTCACAGGAATACAGATTTTTTTTCTTCTCCTTCCTCCGTGTCTTCTTCATGTGAACTCGAAGAGAGTTTATCCGACATCTGACGAGTGTTCGAACTATTGCTTTTACGTAATACACCAAATAAGATGCCACACTTTAGTAAAAACTTTTTGTTTGCAAGTGAAAATACGAATTACAATAACAACATTCACACAATAACAATCTGTTGAAATCCGGTTTGTTGTTGATTATGCCTTGAAAACTTATTTTATTCATTTCGAGAGCAGCTCATATGTAATAGACTCGTCGCATGGTATGGATGCAACTCGTACCATTATAATCGAATCAGATGAAACCATTTAATGGTTTTATTAACAGAAAACTTCACTCAGCAATAATATATGTTTGTGTCTGTGTGTCAGTCATTAAAGTTGTTGAAGCTCGTCAACCATATTTCGTTAAACTTTGTCAATCATTTCGATCTTTGTGGATCTCGTCATCTTGGTTTCCGTTTTCAATATTAATTAAGTTTCGGTAAAAGCTGCTTAAAATACCGGTTGCCCTCGTATTAAATTAATACTTTTAATGAATTATTTGGTATATATGTTCTTTTTATTCTGGAATGTCTTCTTCTTCTTCATCTTCATCATATTCTCTGATTGTTTTTGTAATCAATTAGAACTTAGATGCCTTACACGATCACTTGGGTACATTGTATCCAGGAATGCGAGCGCCATCATTTCGTTGCACTGAAGAGAGTGATGGTTCCTTAATTTTACATTACTATTCCGAACGACCTGGATTAGAACACATTGTGATAGGTATCGTTAAGGTAAGTAACATTCAATGCAATCAATTGACAAACATTTTTCCACTGAAAAAAAAAATCAAATGAAAATTTAGAGAAATAACGAGAGACAAATCGAATATTTATGTTGTTGTAACATTTGTATCGTTAATCATTTCATCATTGATTATTACCAGCCATTTCGAAATTTCTGTCATTAGTAAAGTATAGCAATATTGAATTTAATTTACTTTGAAAATTATTGTTCGTATCCTATTCATTACTTCGATGTTTTCATTTTTGTTCAGTGGCTGGTATTTTTGCATTTACCGTCTCTCATTTATCAAAAACATTTTCATGCCATCTCTCTTTTACGCTTTGGCCGTCTACATTTATACTAATATATTTACCTCTATTTAATTTGGAATGGCGCTTCGGTATTGTTAAATTGTGTTCTAATCGATAGTCGGTTGCGTCAAAGTTACATGGTGTCGAAGTCGAAATCAAAGTGGTCAAACGAAAAGGCGAACCGCTAAATGATGATGAATCAACGAATTTTGCCGAAGTAAGCACAACAACAACAACGCTACATGCCACAACGTCGACGAACGACAACACAGCCGTATGTCCCCATCAACATCAACAACAAAAATCTAACGATTCACACAAAACAAATGGAAAACTATTAAATAATTTAGCTACATGCGAAAGTTGCTGTACAAAATCTAGTAGTAACACAAATTTGAGCTGTAAAGGTAAGCGAGCAAACGAATAATCACACAAACTAAATAAATTTTCACATTTTTTGTGAAATAAAAATAAAATCAACCCTATTAGTAGTTTCTGTTAATGTGTTTTTGATTTATTTGGCCGCATAAGTCACAATTTCTGACAGAATACAATCGATTTTCCAGAATTTTTGATATTATGAACACAGAATTCTCATATTTCAATCGAATGAGACAATTTCAAGGTGTAAACATTAATAATTGCACATGACATGATTTTAATTCCTTTTCTGTGGTCGTTGGGGAAATAATTACTTCTTCAACTTGAACGAAATTTACTTCAGGTTCCATGTCTCACCAATGTGATAGTGGGAACCCTCGTAGAAAGTGATTTACTATGGCCATAGCCATAGCTATAGATTCATTGATTTTGAAATTTTATAATGGAAACAGTCGATTATAACCGTCCGATGGATCGGACCAACAAATTTTTACTTTTATTTATTTTTGATGTTCTAATATCAGTCAATGTCTTTTTCACAGAAGGGAGTGAGCTCCATTTGTGGTCGCTCTATAGGGCTGTCGGATTTCGTTAATCTCTGGCGTATTTTTTGTCCAATGAAATTCCAAATTATGGCATTGGACAATGGAAACGGCAGAAAGAAATAAAATACGACAGCCCTGATGCTCCATTAGTAGTTATAAATTTAATTGCTGTCGATTTTATTATTTTGATTGTAGCTTCGAATAGTTGAATAAAACTCTCATAAAAACATAATGTTAACTAATTCAATTAGTAATTGAAATGTGTTTTTATAGCACATTGAATTGACAATATGACCACAATAATATGACCAATTATGAATATTGTATTATAATATGTGAAATCATTTGAAATAATAAAATATCTGAATGAAAGCGAAAGAATGATCTGAATTCAATAAGTCAACAACTTGATGTTTAATATTAAACATTGATTTTTATCTCGGATATTCTACGAACAAATCAATATTCAATTATTATAGATCATGATTGTATTGCATTTTGTTGGATTGACTGAAATTGCTTTAACATATTTTCAACATTTTGTTTTTTTTCTTCCCATTTTTTCGTGGCGCAATTGAAAATGCAAACGGTAGAAAATCAATCAACTTATATTGTTAAAGTTGTGATTATTTTGTGTTATGATCACTTTATTTTTACAAAAGCAATTCGCAATAGTTGAATTCTCAATTGATAGAAAAATGGATCATGTTCACCTTTACTCATAGAGAATGTAGAATTCAATTTCTATAATGCAAACATACACACAACTTTGACAAATTTACTCATATCTACACATCCATATAAAAATGTTTCTTTTTTTATGTCGATTTCAAATTCGAAATGAAAATATATATCGAAAAATCCACTCAAGCATTTCAAGTGCAAAACGAAACAATGCAATTTTATTCGTGCGCTCTAGTGCACTCGATTGCATATGCGTCTATTGTTACGATTTGCAAAATAAAACACCTTTATTCTGTTTGTATGTACTCTGTTGTGGTTGCAAATATTTCGCGGAGTACGCGCGTATTTGAACAACGGTGCAATTTACATTATCTGCAGAACCTGTGAAAAAATGTCTCGCTTTTACATTGTATTATAAGAATTGATCAAGACCGAATGATTTTCGAATATAATTTTTATTAAAGACAAAAGTTTTCGTGAACCTTTTTTTTGTCTTCTTTTTTGTTTGTTTTTGGTTATTCTATTCTAAAATATTCGAACACAAAAAAACGCCTTGATTAATATCCTGAATTTTCGTCCTTTTCTACTTTCTTTCTTTCTTTCTCTCTCTCTCTCTGTCTCTTTCTCACCTCCCTTACATTCACCTTTAATTATTTAACATCAAATTGATGACATTTTAGAACCAAAACATACGTCTAGATACGGACCATTCGGACCTTTTGTGAAATGTATAAATAATTTAGAATCGAAATATTTAGGTGAAAAATTAGCGCGTCATGGAAGTCTCGAAAGTTTGGAGCGTCCAAAATGCGAGGGAATTATTGTGCCGCCAAAGCCGCGAAAAAAGGAGGTCGAACTATCTGATCACATTCAATTTTTGATAACGGAAAAGTCAGCGCCGCAAACATCAAGTTCGGTTGAAGTATCACGTGAAGCAATCGACGAAGGTGATGTAATTTCTGAAGGTAATTTTCAACTCAAACTCAATATATGCAGTTTTCTTGGCAACTTTTTTATGTTAGTATGTGTGTGTTCGAAAAGTTTGGAATCACCGCGATATCATTAATAAGGTTTCAAGTTTTATTTGAGTTGTGGGTTCTTTTTTTTTGGTTCTGTGGGAGTTTTCATTTTACATTTTGCAAACGTGTAATTTTAACCGAAAATGCATGAAGCATTGAAAACTTAAAAGTTTACCTCGTTGAAATGTGTACACTGTACGTTCCATATGACCATAATTTAATGTTTTGCTTTGAATTTGGTTGAGTTGTGAATATTGCCTGTGACTTAACATTCAATTCAATTTATATCATCTTAAAAACAGCGCTACCTTGCAGCAACATCCCTTTTACATTCTGTTAAATCCATAGAGATCTCTCCCGCTCTCTCTCCTACACATGCTATACAATTTCTAGGTATATAAGTATGTGTACGTTGATGAAGTCAAAGTTACAAACATTAAATCATTTAAAGGCCAATCTAAATGTGCCAGCATTTTATGTAATTTTTCAGCATAGATAATATTTGAAAGCTGCTTAAAGGTACAGCATTTTCATTCACTTTTGATTTACCGCTTTGGCTTTTTTTTATCTCGCATTCTTTCGCTTCCGCTCTTCTTCAGTTTATCAATTGAATGACAAATTGAGAGGATTCATATTACACGTCAAAAGGAGAGTGTTTTTTTTTTTGTATAAAATCGTATTAATAATTGATCATCAAGTTTCTATCAAATATACGTTGAATAAATGCAATTTCTATGCGAAACATAAATTCAAAGTCATAAATAGATAATCATTTTTTTTCTACTTCTGTACATTGGATATGCTTGTCTATTGCACAATCAATTTTAAAGAATTTCAATATCAATCGGAAGTAACTTTCAATTTGAACACCTGGTGAAATCCAAGCAGACTCTTCATTAACATTCTTGGTTGAGAAAATGGCATGACTGCAACATATACTTTTTTAAAACTTAGATTGGATGCGAACATGATTCAAAATGTGTAAAAACAGCATATATTCCTATAAAATCCGAGTGTCTTTGACGAAAATCGAAAAATGTTCGACCATTTATGGGATACAGTCATGCGACAAAGAAATTCGTTGATGTCAATCCTTCCATTCGATTTTCGGTTGTTTTTGCTGTTTTTCAATTATTAAACTGAATGGAAATGCACGTGTTGATTGACATCCAAGTAGAAACCAATCATAATCGTAAAGCATCAGTAGCAAAAGCACAACTTTATTCGTCAAGCACAAGTAGTTTAGATGCAAAAGAGAGACGGGGTAATACGCTTTTGTAGTGTGTGTGTGTTTCTGTGCTATGCAAAATAATAGAGAATAAAAACGCAACAGAATTTCAAGTGTTGGGTCGATTGTTTTTGTCGTGACGATAAAATTGCGAAATGCTCAATTTTGCGTTTCAGTTTGTGTGACATTCGAAGACTTGCACAAAATTGTGTAGTGTCATTCATGTTGAACGTAAAATGGTTTAGTTTATGCTCAATTAAATTCTTGCTTCTTCATCTGGTTTATCCGTTAGATTTTAAGCACGATTTTATCTTATCCATCGTATTATACTTGCACACCTTTTGCTCAGACTAAAATAGCACAAAACAAGACTAAGTGAGCTAAAGCGTATTTAACGTACAGCTAGCCGGTTGCCGATCCGGTTGCCGTTTTATTTCGTCTTCACCACGCCTAAGTCATGCAAAATTGTCAAGTCTACAATAAATGCATATCTCGTCTTTTTTGTCTTAGTTATTCCATCTTAAATGCATTCATCGTTTTCTGTTGATTTCTCATCGTGTGTAGGATTTAAATCGACGACGATGCAACCCCACACAGCAGGCAAGCTCAACATACACTGACTGATACATGGTAGCACAATTTTTTTTTAATGCAACGCTCAAATTCACTCACCATTATGGAGCTATTGAGCAATATTTCGTCATAAAGTATACAATTTTTAAGCAAAAATCCACACTCCGAACATGTGACGGTGTTCATCTAGAAATGCAAAGTTCTTCCAATACGATAACGTCAACTCAAAATTAAAAAGCATTTCTATTCTATATTGAACCGTTCCAAAGTCACGTTTCAAATCAAAATTTCATTCGATGTTGTACACTCTCAATTGTATATTGTCGGTCGTTACTGCTGCTTTCATCATCATCTCATTATTTATTCTATATATTTTTCAATTTGATGAGGGTGTGTGTGTGTGTGTGTGTGAGTGCGTAAGAGAGAGGGGAGACTGATTGAGTGTCAGACAGAAAGAGCTTGGGAATACTATTTTCCCATCAGTATATATATGTATGTCACACGATGAATCTATATGGTCACACACTGACAGCAGCTTAAAACCATGACGTCTGTGGCTGAAAGGATGAATATTGTGAGATGCATCTAAAGTTACCTAAACCCCATTTCAATATCTACAAGTTTTTCGCAATATTTTTTGGTATTTTCGCTCTCTCCATTCGAGTTGTGAACGTGCATCAAATCGAGAAGTGATGTTGTTCATCGAAGAAACGCATGTATAAATATTATCTGTTGGATGCGCTTACCCATTGCTTGGTTCTGTGCTATTGCTGCTGTGTTTTTCTATTTGTCTCACTGTGTATGTATGTGACAGAGTGTCTTCGATGATTTTTTTTTTCATTACTAATATGAAATGAGGTTTTCGTCCCAGCGTTTCTATTTTCGAATTTTGTCATCTAACTGCAACACTTCACATCGTGTCGTTCATTTCTTTGGTTTCATTTTTTCGCGATTTCTCTCTCTCTCACTCTCTTCCAACATTTTGTCTGTCGATGTGCGAGTGTGTGTGTGTGTGTGTATGTCTCATTGGGAATGTCTGTTTCATAGATCGGATTGTTGTTTTGTAAATTTTCTCTAGCTTCATTTTTTGTGTCATTGATGAGAATACGTGGTATTACGCTTTCTTATTATTTGCTTATAAATAATTCGTGGGATACAGCTGTTTCAAGGCATTCCCACACGCTTGAGGTCAGCTGCTGAATGATTGCATTAGCCAACACCGTTGGATCAGTGCAAAAAGCACAATCTATTGAGTATTCAACTGTAAATTGTAAACTGGAATTACGACAACCAAGCAAAAAAAAAACTGAGAAAGTCTGAACAAATAAAAAAACGTCTCAAAATGATATGACATTAATACGTCTGCAAAAATAATGCGCCATTTTCCTTTATACCTTTATTTTATTGAATAAAAAAGGAATAATATGCAGGGCCGCTTGAAAAGAAATAGATTTTCCACTTGTTTTATTTTCGGTTTATTTTCTTAGCCATTAATTTGTGGAATGAAAGTTATCCGCTCCAACATTTTTGATAAATTCAGAATTGAATCGCATATCGATTTCAATTTTATATAAGATTGTTGAATGTCGATGAGAATCACTCAACAGTGAGAATCCATTCTTGGCGCTTTCATTTCAAGCAGTTTTTTCCCCACGTTATTTAGATAGATATATAAGATTCGACCAATTGAAACTGTATGCTCTTCAACATTTGATGAGTTTATTTTCACCTTTTTTGAATGGTATCTTTCTTTTCTATTTCTGTATCGTTGTTTTCTTCTCTCTCTCTCTCTCTCTCTCTCTCTCTCTCTCTCTCTCTCTCTCT